TTCATCTTGTACTGAAATGAAATCAAAATGGATCAAAGGCATATATAAAAACAAAAACTTTGAAATTGCTGAAAGATACATAGGGTAAACACTTAGAGCCATAGAAAAATGAACTCTTACATTGTTGGTGGGAATGTAACTAGTACAACCCTGTGGAAATCAGTACGAAGGCTCCTCAAATAACTAAAAGCAGAAATTCCATTTGACCCAGCTAAACCTTTCCTCAGTATATTCTTGAAAGAGTTAAAGACATTATACTGTAGTGATACGCACATATTCATGTTTGTAGCAGCACAATTCACAACAGCTAAGCTCTGAAAATAGCTAGCTGTTTATCACAATACTAATGAGTAAAGAAAATGTGTTATATATACCCACAATAAAATACTATTCAGCCACAAAAAAGAATGAAATTGTGTCATTTTCTGGAAAACAGATGGAACTTGTGATGTTTAGTGAAGTAAGACAGACACAGAAAGTTAGGCATTACCTGGTTTCTATTAAATGAGAAACCGAAATAATAAATACATAGAAGAGTGAATTAAAGGAGAGATGTAAAGAAACAAAAAGGCAGATTATTTTTGGAGATGTGGAAGGGGATTAGGGGAGGGAGAGGGGAAGGGGATCAAAAATAATCAAGATATGCTACACACATGTAGCAGTTCCTCCAAACCAATGTAGCTAAAATATATTGCAGAAACTCTAAAAATAAAAATAGAAAAAAAGTCAGTATGTATAAAAGGTGATAGGAGGGAGGCTACCAGGACTAAAGAAATGTGGTTTCTGAGGTTTGTTGAATTCATCAGCTCAGAAGAAAAACAAAAAAACAACAAATCTAGGTAAATTATATTATTCAATTCAAAAATTCAATTCAACTTCTGGATTAGTTTTAAATATTTTATGCTTTTGGAGGTAAGAGTATTTGGTCAATACAATGTGTTTCCCTGGAATCACTTAATGTTGGAACAACTGATGTTTTGAAGATTTTTTCCTAGCTAAAAATAAATTTCTAAATAAAATGTATTGAAATAATGAATACGACAACCTAGGTTTTACAGTAATAAAGCACTATTGCAAATTTACAGACTGAATTAAAACAAGGTGCAAACTCACTTCTTTAAGAAAAATCCCTGTAGTGTATTCTCTGGAAATGATGGTATGATCTAGACACTGCCCACAAGCTCTTCCCCTTGGCCTTTGATCCATCAAACCCAAACTCTAGTGAGACTAGAATCTTCTGTCCCAGGCATTTTAAAAATATAATATGTGAAAAGAAGAGGCTACAAGTGGGGGTGCTTGAAACACCACACTTGATATGGGAGTTTCAGATGGAACACCCAAGGAAGGGTACAAGTATCCCCGCTCTGAATCCTGACAGCCAAGAACCAAAGAATTCTTTGGTTTGTCCCAACTAGACAAGGCACTAGGACAGTGAAGAGGGGAGTTCCAACACAACCTCACACTTCGCTGGTGAGTGTGGTATATGTGCCAGCTGCATATGCCTGACTCAAGAGGGGGTTCCACTATTCAACCCTGATCCTCCAGGTGTGACATGTAAGTCACCCAGTTCCTGCACTGTGGAAGACCACCATGTCAACCTTACCAGTTAGGATGGCAATCTCAGTGCCAGTGAAATCATATTCCTTAGCACCAGGCAGAAAAAGAAAATCCAACACAAGCATAATGGTTTATTTTTCTTTAGACTTATATCCATCTTCATAAAACATTTTCTTTTAGCTGTAGAAAAGTCCAGCTGGAGAACTGACCAGCAGCAGGTTAGACTGAAACATTATCATTGCTGAAGGCCTTTCCTCGCTGTCTGCAGACTGCTTTTCAATTAAACTCCAAGAGAAAGAACTCTTTCTCCATTCAGTCAGCAAGAGTCATACTTTTAGTAAAGAAGTCGGAAAAAAATCTCTCCAAATCTATACTGTCATTCATAAAAAATGACTTCCATTTAAGCATCATCACATTGCACATGGAGACCTTTTTTGTAAGATGATATGCAGGACATTAGTCAGACTTGGAAATAGGAAAGCCAGAAGTGTTCTATGGAACAAATATCTAAACCTGGCTCTGGTGGGGAAAATATTATATCTTATGATAATTATGTCTCCCTGTCACTCTTGCTCCTTAGCAGTTAAATATTTCTAATATACAAAAAAACAAAATTTTTCCCTTAAGTATCAAAATTAATGGAAATCATGCCTTTTTATAAATTAAAAAAGTCACTCAGTGAGATGAAAAGCAAGACTTTGAAAGCTTAAAAGGGTTAATATTTGTATTTCTTAGTGTTCATCAAGGTATTTCTAAATGCCTTTAAAATTATACCCTAAATTTGCTAAATCATATCATAGTAAACTCAAGCATACACTTTGATAATATAACAAATGTTACTGGAAATCTCTTATATAGTGTTTCTCATTATTCAGAATGTTTTATTAAGTGAAGGTGAAGTAACCAAATTATACAAAGAGGCAGCTGGCAAAATGTTAAGATTTTAGAAAAAAATAAGTCCCAATGTTAAGGAATTTAGAAATCACACTCTAGTCTAACCAAGAGATTGTTAAACTTCCTCAGATTACTTGTACCCTAGACTTTAAGAAGCTAAAAATATGTAATTTACATATATTAAAATATTCACGTCCCCTGCCACTACACATTGCTAATGGCTATGTGAAATCAGGCATTACCCTGTCATTTCTGCCTGGTGAGATAATTTTGGTTTCCTTAAGAGCATTATGCCAATAAAATTACTTTTTTCAGGAAACATTTTTATTTTTTAATTTGAAAGAAACTTATATTTGCAATGACCAGTCCGAGGTTTGTTGAATAACAGAAATAGGTATAAAATGAAAGACTCAAATAAGTATAAACAGATATTTAAAATGTTATGCAAATGAAGAGCAAATAAAAGATTCCCAAAGACAAAGTCTAAATGAATCTTTCATTGATACCTTAGTTGATACCTTTATACTATTCTCAAGTAAAATAACTTAAAATTAACTTTTGCAAGATTATAAACTTACTTTTCTACACTATTTTTATATATTTAAATTATATTTTCAACCTCTTTTCTACTTTACTTCTAATAAGAAATAGCCCTCATGTTAAGAACAGAACCTGATATTTCAGTGATTACAAAGACTACCAGTTATTCCTTTTTCTTAATTTGACTTTATGAAAAAATTTATGTTTTACATCTTAAAATTAGAACTTTTAATATGTTTATTATTTTGGTCTCTATATACATTTCAGTATGAATATCAATTAAAATCTGGCTGTATTGCATCAAAAGTGAGTTTGGAAGTTTTCTTATCTTTATATATACCAAGATATTTCTTTGTCTAATGTCTCACTTTTTCACAACATAGTTTTTGCACTGTATAGATAAACTTTGGCATTTTTAAGAAAATAGAATTTTAAAACAATAGCAAATTGCTTCTAATTTCTTCTTGATGTATGTCATCAACACCTATTAACACCAACAAGAGTAACCAGGTTGTATCAGAACAAAATATCAGCCTAGTCTGTATCTTTAAAAACAAATGGAAACATAGGAAAGGACTTTTAATACACTAGTAAAATATGAAATTTTTTGTGCTGCTTTCTCATGAAGTGAAATACAACCATAAATTAGAAACAGCTTTTGAAAAGAAGTATGATTAAGCTTTTTAAAGGACAATTCTGAACTTGTCACACACTTAGAATATTTCTACCTTAAAACACAGTAATGTCTCACTATAATTTCCTTGAGGAAAGCGAACACTTTAAAATCCAGAAAAGTTTTGCATTATACTTCTAAGTGTAAAAATAAATACTTTGCTAAGGAATGGGAAAAATAAAGCATATTTAAATAATTTTATTGCACTGGAAGTTGCCAATTCATCTGTGAGTAGTCTCATTGCAGATGAAAAGAAATCAAAATATGGGACAGATGTTGAACAAACCGCATTTAAGTTCTGTCACACACTGGCATTTTTCAAATGATTTTGGCTCATCTATTAAATAAGGTGCATTTTGCTTGATTTTGAAAAGGGAAACATCAGGAAATATTTAAGGGCCAATTGCTGCCAATTAACTTTGATCAGTAAAAGTTCTATTTGAATCTTTCAGATTCTTCTCCTGTCTGAAATAACATACATTTATAAAATCTATCAAAACAACAACTTGATGATTAATGCCTGTTGGCAGCCCTACCACAAGCTTGCTTAACAGCAGTATTTAAATAAACAACTGTCTCTACTAAGAAGGGAGGTAAATGTAGTTATAGTTATGTTTTCTCATAATGGAGATACGAAAAAACAATGTTCTTTATTCTTAAGAATTCTGCTAACCAAGATCAACGTTGGGGCAGTGCCCATAACACGTTTAGCTAGCCATCTTATGAAAGTTTCCCCTGAATCATAACGAGACAGTAAAATCAGCAGAAGTTAGAAGAAATCCTAGCAAACCAAACAGCAGAGGCCTGACTTCAGTATTTTCCAAACAATTGGACTCGCCAGAAAAGCATCTGACCTCATACATTAAGTCTGACATGCACAGCATATTCAAGCACAATGAATTATATTGGATTCTAAAGGGAATATATCTCAACAGTGATTCTGAAACTAGCCAATTATGAATGTAGCTTCTGATAATCAACAAATAATATTCATATTTAGGATTTTTGATATAGATATTAATCCTTACCAACGGTCATATGAGAGCTAACTCTGAAACACAACAGCTAGAGTAAAGCAAAACAGAAATGCCATGAAGACAAAACGCACTGCGGTATTATCAATAATTACTTTGCCTCGGGCTAGGGATTTAGCTCAGTGGTTTCGCCGCCTGTTGCGCAAGACGAAGGACCCGAGTTCGATCCCCGGTACCAAAAAAAAAAATTACTTTGCCTCATTAATTCTATTTATTTCAAAATATAGCATCCCATTGTTATTTTAAAATCAATCATCTATTTTTAGACATCCAACATGAAGTATGTATAAAACAGAACTTACTTCTAAGTCGTTAAAGAATAGATGTGTGTCTGCTAAATTGAAAATCATTTCTTCCATTCGTAGTCCAAGGGAAACTGAAGTGGGTGGATCCTAAAAGAAAAAATGTTCAGGTCAAGAACTTATATATGCATCAAGTTTCACGAGATGTAATGCCACATTAAAAGGGAATCAGCATCAGAAAAGGTGGAAAGCAAGAGACACAGGAAGACCTGGGCTCCTGTTGCTTTTGGTGTGTATGATTTATTCTGTGTGCAAACTTCAGTGACTTACTATTTAAAAGTATCCCAACTTTTTTTTTTTTTTTTTTTTTT